AAATGGCTTGGGCTCAGCATCAACCTTCTGGGTATTAACAAGGACATTGATTTTGAATTATAAAGTATAAACAATTATTTTAACAGAATTCATTATACTAAAGGGTTCACCGTAAGGACTTTAGTTTTGAGTAAGTAGAAAAACAATAATGAGAACCGATATTCCAGGAGGATTTTATAATAAAAAGCCCTCACGTCATTATTTAGCCATAACGAAGTCTTCACTCACTGACACCCCACCCAGGCCCTCTAGATGTTAGACCCATTGTGTGCTGGAAGATATTATTGTATGTGAAGGAATCATTAAGCTGGCTTTATGGAGAACTATGTTTTTGAAAAGAGACAGAGGAGAAAACTAAAGGAATTCCATAACGTGACATCAAAATCCAATCAAAGGGATAGTTTTCCCAATTTCATGTAATATCTGCCCCCTAAGCCATTGTGAAGAATCAGTGTATCAGATGCTACAAAGCATATGGAAGTAGACTGATTTTCGGGATATGCAAAATCTAATATCTAGTGGCCGAGAAATGTAGTGAAAAGCATGGGAATATGCTTTGAGGGAAAAAAACCCCACCTCTACTAAAAATACAAAAGTTGGCTGGCATGGTGGTAGGCGCCTGTAATCGCAGCTGCTACTCAGGAGACTGAGGCAGGAGAATAGCTTGAACCCAGGAAGTGGAGGTTGCAGTGTGCCAAGATTACGCCATTGCACTCCAGCCCTGGCAACAGAGCAAGACTCTGTCTCAAAAAAAGAAAAATAGGTGTTTATGTTTTGTCCAGGTATACCAGATGTCCAGAGGCTTCCTTAAGGGATTTGGAATGGTGCAGTTTCTTTCTTTCTCTGTTGTAACATTGGTTCAACAAAATGAAACACACTTAAAGCTTGGGTTGAGTAAACACACTTGCTGATCAAGTCATTGAAATAATAACTATCATCAGTGACACAATGAGGAAAATCACCAAGGTCATGATTTTAAAAGATCTTGAAAAAAATCAATAAAATGAAATAAATAAACCTTCTTCCTCCAAAACAAAAACTACATTCCAGGTGTTAAACTGCTATGGAAATCATAAAAGACATAATAATAGGAAAAACATACAACTCGTCGATAAAAACCTAAAGCCAACTAAAGCTTGAGCCAAAAATCAATGTGGGCCACGATGAAGCTGTTGAGGATTTTTTAAGAATCATTTATGGAAAAAACAGACATTTGGAATAAAGCAGGTTGAGCCTAAGACACTCTTAGGAGGTTGCATAATTTTTTATAGATGTGACTGGTAGAGGTAGCAGCCACTACTTACACACAAAGACACGTGCATGCATGCGAACACACACACACACACACACAGATAAGTGCAATAGCAAACTACATCCCCCAAATTTATTAATACTTGGAGGTTTTATTTTCCATTTTTCTCTTTTTACTAAGTTATTTGTCTCATAATGGTCTTCTCTATAAAAGCTTTATTTCTCTGAACTGGGAAACCATGAAATCATACAAATATATACCCACATAAACAAATACAAGGCTTTGCATTCTCAGCCTCTGTCTTCTACCTACACTGATTACATCTCTGGAGCAGTCTTTTATAATGTTATTCAAATAACAGGCCACCAGATATTGTTCCCTCTGAAAGTGCACCTGTATCTTTCATCAACTGTAATGGAAATTATGTGCAAGCAAACTCCTACTGCTCGTTCAAGAGTCAAAGAGGGGACAAGGCATTATGAACTTTTCAGATTGCTGACCAAGAAATAGCATTCATTTCCTCCATTATCAATATTGTTTAAAATGAAAGTCGCAGTATTTCTGAAGCAGAAATATGGTAACTTAAAAAAATAAATAATATCTTATTTTTATTTCACAACTTTTGGGAGTGGTATTTAAAAGGAAACACTTTACTGAGGCCCATTGCCAACAATTTGTCAGTAATGAAATGAATAAAAACTAGGGCATTACAGAATTTCTTCACCTGCAAGTAGTGAATAAGTATAATCTATGATTTTAATAAGCTTTTCAGTAGTATTTGCAGATTTTCCACACAATTGATGGCTTATTTTATCCTCACACAAATATTTTCAACATGAGCCCTCGCCCAACTGTCGTTTTATATTTTCTTGCTGAAATGTAATGAAATGCTAACTTTCAGGAATGCTGAGAAATACTCTTTTGTCTGTCCCCTAAGAAATAGCTTCATTGTTTCCTTCCTATGAACTCTACTCCCAATTAATCCACTTTTGTAATCACATTTTGAGACCCGATACTGTTCAGCAGATTGTTTTACCAGGATAAAGCTCTATTTATCACATGTTGTGTTTTTCCACTCTGTCCCCATTGTCACTGGCTAGAATGAAAGAGTGAATTTTGAACGTTACTAATCAACAGTGGCTCTTTGCCTTAGTTTGGCTAAGTCATCCTCAAAAGAAAGAAATCATCAGATCACTGATGGTTGGCAGCATAAAAGTGTGTGTATGTGAGATCCAAGCTCAATGTAGGATATGTTCTATTGCATATTGCTTTACCACATTTCTTCTGGGTTTAGCTATGCTGGGAGCAGTTGGACACATATGCTCACAAATGAAGTTTGGGGGTGCCTGCATTTACATCTACGTGTTCAAAAGAGCAGAGCTAATAATCCTATTGTGCCTTTAAAGAAGAGCTAAGAGAGTCAACCTATGTAAGCATGGTCATACGGACTTTCCCAACTTTGGGTCACCTCTCCTGGCCATCTCCAGCCACAGATCTGCACAGACCAATGCCACATTATACAGAGATAGCGTCCATAGATAAGAGAAGAAATGATTGTATCTACTGCTACAGTGACCCCATTTTATTTCCGAAAGATCAGAGAACAACTCACCTTTGGGATAGTGCAACAAATCCCAAGGACAAAACCGCAAAATACATACATTGCTTATTCACAATGAAGAGAAATGGACTTTGACCTTTTGGGGTTTGTTTTTTGTTTTTGTTGCTGTGGCTGTGGTACTTATTCTGACAGGTAGGAGTCTCCTCTCCTGAAGCCAGAGTTTATTATTTTAAACTACAAATGTGACATAAGGATTTCAAGAGTTGCATCCGTTTATTTTCCTCCAATTTCTTCTTCCATTCCTCCTTTCCCTGTTCTTTAGCCAGCTCCTCTAGAGGTTATGGCAGAGGGAGAAGTGGCACAGTTGTAAATTTCTGGTGTTACAGTAACATGGCTGTTGTTCACTATGTGAAGCCAGACTCTCTCTGTGAATCCCATCTGTGGTTGTCTGGAGTTTTTTACATTCCCCAATGCAGATACTCTCCAAATGACTTCTTTTCTCCCCACAGCTTTATTGAGCTATAATTGGCATTTTAAAAACTGCACATAGGTATATATACACCATGGAATACTATGCAGCCATAAAAAAGAATGAAATAATTTTCTTTGCAGCAACATGGAGGCCATAATCCTAAGCAAATTAACACAGGAACAGAAGACCATATACCATGTATTTTCACATGTAAGTGGGAGCCAAGCATTGAGTACACATGGATATAAATATGGTAACAATAGACTATATGTTAACAATACCAAATATGGTAACAATACAACAGTGGACTACTAGGGGGTGGAGGGAGGTGGGCAGGTGGGTGGAATAACTACATATTGATTACTGTGCTCACTAGCTGGGTGACAGGATCCATACCCTAAACCTCAGCATCACACAATATCCCATGTAAAAAACCTGCATACCTACCTCTCATATCAAAAATAAAAGTTGAAAATTAACAAGCAAAGAACAACCCCATTACAACATAGGAAAGGACACGAACAGACACTTTTCAAAAGAAGACGTGTATGTGGCCAAGAAGCAGATTAAAGAAGTCCAACATCACTAATCGTTAGAGAAAGGCAAATCAAAACCACAGTGAGACACCATCTTTCACCAGTCAGAATGGTTGTTCGTAAAAAGTCAAAAAATAATGGATTCTAGCAAGTCTGCAGAGAAAAGCTGGCACTCATGGGAGTGTAAATTAGTTCAGCCCCTGCAGAAACTTGTTTGGTGATTTCTCAAAGAATTTAAAACAGAATTACTATTTGACCCAGGAATCCCAGTATCTGGCATACCCAAAGGAATATAAATTGCTCTACCATAAAGACACATGTACACATATGTTAATCACAGCATGATTCACAATAGCAAAGACACAGAATCAACCTAAATGCTCATCAACAGTAGACTAAAGGAAACATGGTACATATACACTAGGGAATACTATGCACCCATAAAAAAGAACAAGATCATGTGCTTTGCAGATATGTGATAGAGCTGGAGGCCATTATCCTAAGAGAACTAATGCAGGAACAGAAAACCAAACACCTCATGTTCTCACTTGTAAGTCAGATCTAAACACTGAGTACACAGCAATACAAGAAAGGAATAGTAGACACCAGGGCCTGCTTGAGGGTGAAGGGTGGGAGGAGGCTGAAAATTGAAAAGCTACTTATTGGGTATCATTTATGCTATGCTTATTACTTGGATGATGAAATCATCTGTACAGGAAACCCCCATAGCATGCAGTTTATCTGCAACAAACCTGCATGTGTACCCCTGAAATGAAAATAAAAGTTACAAATAAATAAAAGTTGAGGCTAGGCGCAGTGGCTCATGTTTATAATCCCAGCACTTTGCAAGGCCAAGGTGGGCAAATCATTTGAGGTCAGGAGTTCAGAACCAGCCTGACCAACATGGTGAAACTCCATGTCTACTAAAAATACAAAAATTAGCCAGGCATGATGGCGGGCACCTGTGATCCCAGCTACTAGGGAGGCTGAGGCAAAAGAATTGCTCGAGCCTGGGAAATGGAGGTTGCAGTGTTCAGAGATTGCACCATTGCACTCCAGCCTGGGTGACAGAATAAGACTCCATCTCAATAAATAAATAAATACATGCTGAAATTAAATAAATTAAAGACTGCACGTAAGTAATGTATACAATATGGTGAGTTTGGACATGTGTATACACTCATGTGACCATCACCACAATCAAAGTACTAAGTATATCCATCATCTCCAAAAGTTTCTTTTCACAAAGAAACCTTCGTTGTTTCAGTATTGCTGCTTTCACGGTAAGAACATCCAAGATGAGAGAGTATGCTACCATTGCCATCACCACCACCATCGCCATGAACAGTGTCACGCAGATTCACACATGGAGCTTCAGTCGTACAACCAATGCTTCGATCGTTGGTTTGTGGAGAAGTTTCTCAAGGGGGACAGCTCTGGGGAGCCGTGCTCCAACCTCTTCAAGTATTACCTGCAGTGTGTTCAGAAAGGAATAGCAGAGAGAATCCCTGTTGAAGGACTGAAGTTCATGGGCCATGGCGAAGAAAAGCATGAAGAGTCTACTTGACCTTGAAAATGGATTCCTCAGATCATGCAGTTAAGGACTCTGGATTTTGTCAACCAAGTCCGTGAAGACGGCCATCTGGTTTGACGGGGAATTTAGGCAAGAGAAGTTTTGTTTCCTCCTTCTTGATGTTTTCCTCTCACTTGTAAAAGATGATGATCTCTCACTTGCTCTGGTCTCTTCTAGGAATCCAGTGTGCTAAACAGAACAATTTCTTGGGATTATGGTTGCGATAGTTGGTCTGGGATCAGCTGGAAATATACCTGCATGAAAATAATGATAAACTAGTTAGGATGATCAAGGTTGCCTGACCTTTTGATTTTTGCTACAAATGACATTATGTACACTTGTCCTGGGTCATTGTTCAAAGCAATTGGTTAGGACCTCCTTTTTCTCTCAGAGAACTAAGGCTCTGAAAGGCTCTTGAGTATTTACAAGCTTTAGAACGTCATGTAATCCCCAAAATTGCATCTCTTACGTAACTCGCTTTAATTTATTAGATGCCAGAGAATAGTATAAAACTTGATTTACTGGCCAGGCATGGTGGCTCATGCCTATAGTCACAGCTACTTGGGAAATTGAGATGGGAAAATCGCTTGAGCCCAAGGAGGTCGAGGGTACAGTGAGCCAAGATCGCGCCACTGCACTCCAGGCTGGGTGACAGAGTGAGACCCTGTCTCAAAACACACATGCACATGCACAAAAACAAAACAAAACAAAAAAAACCCTTGATTTACTGAAGACCTAAATTCTATTATCTTGTCTCTACCAGTTACAATTGCTACTTCATATTTCATGTTACCAGTTCTTTTTTTTTTTTTTTTTTTTTTTTTGAGACGGAGTTTCGCTATTGTTACCCAGGCTGGAGTGCAATGGCCGACCTCGGCTCACCGCAACCTCCGCCTCCTGGGCTCAGGCAATTCTCCTGCCTCAGCCTCCTGAGTAGCTGGGATTACAGGCACGCGCCACCATGCCCAGCTAATTTTTTGTATTTTTAGTAGAGACGGGGTTTCAGCATGTTGATCAGGATGGTCTCGATCTCTTGACCTCGTGATCCAACCGCCTCGGCCTCCCAAAGTGCTGGGATTACAGGCTTGAGCCACCGCGCCCGGCCACCAGTTCTTAATGTCATTTCAAAACATTCTTTGTGGATATTTTCTGACTGGTTGGGGTTCATTATTCAAGGATTATAACAGATACATGGAACCCAGCTGAAGAGGCAGGCAGCAAGCTAAAGTACATCCATCCTAAATTCAGACTGGCCACAAGCAAAACAGCTCTATAGAGACCAGAAATGCAGGCTGTTACAGCACATAGTGGCAAAGGTAATGGGATTCTTTATTCCTTATGGTAAATGGCTGTCCATATATCTTACCCTTGCATTACCAATTGAATGTAATTATTACAAAATATCCCATAGCCTCTTCAGCCTTGCCACAAACTGTCCCACGGAGTCTTCAAAATAAACCAGCTCCAAGCCAACAATGTTCTTTTATTATAAGTCGTATTGAGGAGTCTGTGTATGAAAGCTATGTATGCCAGCCCGGAAATTCACTTCTGAACATGACTTTTGGGAAAAACTGCAGGAAATATCTTGAACAAACCTCTTCGGTTTCAATTGAGGGGGTGAGAAGGATGTTCTAATCATTAATGCCAGGAAAGATTTAAGATTCCTGAAATACAATTAAAAAGCTCAAGCATCAGGTATCTAACCCTATCCACATCACAGTTAAATTTTAAAGGCTAAGCCGGGCGCGGTGGCTCATGCCTGTAATCCCAGCACTTTGGGAGGCCGAGGCGGGTGGATCACGAGGTCAAGAGATCGAGACCATCCTGATCAACATGCTGAAACCCCGTCTCTACTAAAATTACAAAAAAATTAGCTGGGCATGGTGGCACGTGCCTGTAATCCCAGCTACTCAGGAGACTGAGGCAGGAGAATTGCCTGAACCCAGGAGGCGGAGGTTGCAGTGAGCCGAGATCATACCATTGCACTCCAGCCTGGGTAATGAGCGAAACTCGGTCTCAATAAAAAATAAATAAATAAATAGATAAAAATTTAAAAATTTTTTAAAAATTTAAGGGCTAGATATTAGTAACTACCTTGCTTTATGAATACATCCTACCGAAAGGGAAAACGTCTTGTGTTGCTGAGAATAATTCTTTCTGAATGTTCCTTACCCATCCTGACTTCATCCTCTCCGTAAAGTGACTCCAACCACCTCAGCTAATCTAAAGGCTTGTTATTTTGATGAGGAATTAATTGCTCTTTCAGAATGATTTGGTAACTTCTACTACTGTTTCTTCTTCCTCATTCTTATGGCTACAAGATGGTTTTAATTTCAAAAACCAATAAAGCCAATACTACAAGAAAAAAAAGGAACAGAGTAAGATCTACTCTGCTAACAGATATTTAAGTGTACAATGCCTTATTGTGAATTGTAGATACTAAGTTGCACAGCAGGTCTCTGGAATTTACTCATCTTGTATAACTAACTGTATATGCATTGAACAACTTCCCAGATCTCCCTAACTCCATTTCTTGGTAACCACCATCCTATTGTCTACTTTTATGTGTTTTCCTATTTTATTCTATTAAGGTGGCGTTTCACTCTGTTCCCTAGGCTGGAGTACAATGGTGCAATCCCATCTCACTGCAACCTCCATCTCCTGGATTCAAGGGATTCTCCTGCCTCAGCCTCCTGAGTAGCTGGGATTACAGATGTCTGCCACCACATCCAGCTAATTTTTGTAGTTTTAGTAGAGATGAAGTTTCACCATGTTAGCCTGGCTGGTATCGAACTCCTGACCTCACGTGATCCACCCGCCTCGGCCTCCCAAAGTGCTGGGATTACAGGTGTGAGCCACCATGCCCAGCCACTTATTCTACCAAGTAATGTTTTTTTAAAGCTATGATATTTAGGTATCCAAGTAATGTTTTCTTAAAGCTATGATATTTAGGTTTCCCCTGTGAGCACCCAGAAAACTATATAAACAATGTTTCTTAACCAGCTTTTGCTAAATATTAACTAACTCTTAGTTAATGTAAAAATCATCCAGAGTTAGGAAAAATCATATAAAAATAGTTTTTATGTGCAAATTCAAGAGCATGTCCACTTCCTGAGAAAACCAGATGATAAAGAGAAGGCATGACATGCAGAGGAGGTTCTCATGACTGTAGCTAGAAAATTAGCCTTTATAGGCTTCTTCTACATGCTGTGGCACTTTATACTCCTTCTAAACACACTCAAGTAGATCAAGCACTTTGGGAGGCTGAGGCAGGCAGATCACTTGAGGTCAGGAGTTTGAGACCAACCTGATCAACATGGTGAAACCACGTCTCTACTAAAAATACAAAAATAAGCTGGAAATCACTTAAACCCAGGAAGCAAAGGTTGTGGTGAGCCCAGATCATGCCACTGCAGTAATCCCAGCACTTTGGGAGGCTGAGGTGGTTGGATCACGAGATCAGGAGATCGAGACTATACTGACCAACATGGTGAAATCCCATCTCTACTAAAAATACAGATATTAGCTGGGTATGGTGGTGCCTGCCTAGTCCCAGCTACTCGAGAGGCTGATGCAGGAGAATCGCTTGAACCCAGGAGGCAGAGGTGGCAGTGAGCTGAGATTGCACCACTGCACTCCAGTGTGGCAACAGAGTGAGACTGTGACTCAAAAAAAAAAACATGTATGTTAAGGAAAATATAACAAAAGGGTAATTATGACCCTTGTACACATTTAGGCAACACATCTCCTACTAAACCCTTTGAGTGAATTATAGATAATATTTGATATTTATTATCCTCAATCAGACATGTTCTAAGTTAATCCAGGCATCTTCTCATTCATTCAATCATACTTACTTTAGAATCATCCCTCACTTAAATAGCCCTTTGATCTCTTTGCCAGGCATGGACCATGAAGTGCCTGCATTTAAGAGTAATCTCAGGTTACCACGTTTCACCTATGCAATCCCTGCTGTTTACCTGGCACAAGCTATTGATTTTACTTTAATCCAGAAAAAAGAAAACTCATAGATAATCCCATCTGTTCCATGCCAGATTACTTTTGAAAGTATAGTGAACAGCTAAGGTGGTTTCCAGCTACCTCTAAAAATAAATGGAAGAATAAAAGAGGCTTAACATGAATCAGAAAAGAAGATACCATTTAATAAGCCCCAAAACAACACTTTTGGTAGCAGCTTTCCCACAGATACTACAGTATTGACCTTAACCACCATGTGCAACAATATTTTAAGAGCTATAATTAGGCACCCAGGTTAGGAAGTCTTTGTTGTCATAAGCGACGTTTACAAGCTCTGAGAAGAACAGTCTCCAGTAACATCAGTCTTAAATTTTAAATCTTTATTATTCATTTTACCTGTCTATTGAGAGCTAACTGTGAGTCACAGAAATGAATAAAACATATTCCATGTGCTCAGTAAGTTCACAGCATAGTGAATCATATGGACATACATAGGATTAATTGATATTATTGGTCATTCTTTGAATTAAAGCATTGAAAGTCCAGTAGGTAGTATCAAGCCCCTGAATTACAACAAACACAGCATGCTATTCAGGAAAGACGAGTTTCCAGGGCAGGGTATAAGAAAGTTCTCGAACATACACAGATGCTGGAGAAGAACTGAAGAACTGGTATCTCAACTGAGAGATACTAATAAAGATAAATAGAAAAGATATGTGAGAAGCCACCAGAGAAAATCCCGCCTACGTAATTTTACCAGTGTTTGCCCTAAGTAAGAATGCAAGTGGTGACCCAGTCACCAATCCGTGAGCTTTGTCATAAACAGCCCTCCTAGTTTAACTTGCAGATTATTTTCAAAGCTTTAAAAATTGTCACTCCAGGCCAGGAGCAGTGACTCAAGCCTGTAATCCCAGCACTTTGGGAGGCCAAGGCGGGCGGATCACGAGGTCAAGAGATCAAGACCATCCTGGCCAACATGGTGAAACCCTGTCTCTAATAAAATACAAAAAAAGTATCCAGGCATGGTGGCGGGCGCCTGTAGTCCCAGCTACCTGGGAGACTGAGGCAGGAGAATTGCTTGAACCTGGGAGGCAGAGGTTGCAGTGAGCCGAGATCGCACCACTGCACTCCAGCCTGGCGACAGAGCAACACTCTGTCTAAAAAAAAAAAAAAAAAGGCC